AAACAGGACTTTTTGGGGGTAGGTGAGAATCTATTTAAGGAAACAATAGAAAGACCCAGAAACTTGAGGTTAAAAGCATTTCTTTTGAGACAGACCTGTCTGGGGCACACTTTGGCTGATTCTGCCACATATTAGAATTACCAAGTGACTTCTCTTTCTACATCTCAACTCTGAGAATAAAAATGACCTTGAGACTTAAATAATACCTGTGAAGCCTTGTACATATTGAGCGTCTACCAATGTTACTTATGTTATCATCATTAATAGTCCTTTATAACCGTACACCTGAAAGTCAAAAAGAACCGGCATAGAAATAGACAAATTAATGCTGTATAAGACACGTAAGTGACAAACTGACACCCAAAGTACTGAGTTGATGACCAACATCATCTCTGCACATCAGGAAGGAAAGTTGCCAGCTCTCAGCACTGCAGAGGCTATAAAATTAAATCTCCCCATGTGACAGTAGAGACCGAGAAAAGGGATTGGCTACCTGGTAAATGAGCCAGAGTTATTCTCCCAGCATTCTGGCTCCTGGTCTGCCAACCTGTGAGCCTTATTGCATTGCACCTCCCCCAGGTGGACATGTCACTGTCACCTCATTTTTTCATATCAGGATCATGTTGATCTTAGAGACACTAAGCCCTGACAATGAAACTTGGCCTCAGGGAAACCTTATAAGGAGATTAAAAATAATAATAATAAATGGCTACTCCTAACATTATACTTACTTGTGAAAGACTAAATTTTTTTCTTTTAAGAGCATATTTGAATAACAATTGAGTTAGGCAATAATTTCTGAGACAGGACACAAAAGCATAAGTGACAGAAGGACAAATAGATAAATGGTACTATTTCAAAATTTAAAATTTTGTGCAAAAATAAAGAAGTCCATTCTCACCATTTCTATTCAACAATGCACAGTAGATTCTAGACAGGGGGATTAGGAAACAGACACTGAGAAAGAGATATAAAATATTTTCAGAGATTAGAAAGGAAGAAGTAAACTGTCTCTATTCACAAATGACATGACTTTGTAAATAGAAAATCCTAAGGACTCCATTAAAATGCTTAGGGCTCATAAACTAGTTTTAGAATTTGTGGAATAAAGAACAATATACAAATCAATTTTATTTAGATATATTACCAATGAGCAACCTAAAAATAAAATTTTGAAAACAATTACACTTGCAGTAGCATCAAAAAGAGTAAAACAATTATCAGTAAGCTTTATAAAACTGAAAACTACAAAATGAAATAAGGATCTAAATAAATGGGAAGGTATGCCATGTTAATAGATAAGAAGGCTTATTATTGCTAAGATGAGGTACTTCTTAAATGATTCTATAGGTTCAACTCAACCTTGATCAAGATCCCAACCTGTTTTTTCTCTTCTTTTTTCTTCAGAACTTTACAGGCTATTTAAGAAATTCATGTAGAAATGCAAGGTATTCACAATTTTGTCAAAATAACTTTGAAAAAAAGTATAAAGTCAGAGGACTCATGCTTCCCAATTTCAGAATTTACCACACAGTATAGTAGTCAAGGCAGTGAGGCACTGATATAGAAATGAACTCTTACATTTATAGTCGGGTGTAATTTTGAGGGTATCAAGATAATTTAATGGGGAAAGAAATCTATTCAACAAATAATGCTGGGACAACTATCTACATGCAAAAAAGAAAAGAATTTGGATTCCTCCCCTACATCACACACAAAACTTAATTCAAAATGGATCACAGACCTTACTGTGAGAGCTAACATAAAATTCCTGGAAGAAAACCTAAAAGCATATCTGAATAACACTGGGTTAGGGAATAATTTCTTAGACATGACACAGAACAAGTGACAAAGGGACAAATAGATAAACAGAACTGTTATAAAATTTAAAACTTTTGTGCATTAAGTGATATCATCAATAAAGTATATAAGCTGTAGAGTTAGACAAAATGTAGATTATATTATTTGATAAAGGATTAGGATCCATAATTTTTAAAAATATAGTAATTGGCTATGATAATAAAGAGCTAATTAATGCAACGTTTAAAATAGGCAAAGGATTTGGATAAACATTTTCCCAAAGAAGACGTACAGATAGCCAGTAAGCATGTGAACAGATGCTCAGCTCTGTCAGTCACTACGGAAATGTACGTGAACACCACAGTGAAATACCTTTCATGTGATTAGGATGAATAGAATTCAAGAGAGAGGCAAGAAGAGTTGGTGAGGACGTGGGGATATTGGAATCCTCATACACTGTTGGTTGCAATGTGAAATAATGCAGTCACTTTGGAAGGTAGTCTAACAGTTCTTCAAAATTTTAAATATACTATTATCCAGCAATTATAATTTAAATATAATATTATCCAGCAATTATATTTCTACAGATATACCCAAGAGAAATGAAAATATATATCCAAACAATAAATTTTCATACCATAATTATTTATAATAGCCAAAAAAGAGCCTACTCAAATATTCATCAACTAACAAATAAATAAAATGAAGCAAATAAAAAATGGAATTTTACTTAGCATTAAACTGTATGGATGTGTGTGATGGCATGGATAAATCTTTAAAAACTTTCCTAAGTGAAAGAAGCTGAAGATTACATATCAAACAATTTCATTCACATGAAAATCCAGTAGGTGAATTTATAAAAGACAGCAGTTTAGTATGTTGATCAGGACTTGGCAACAATTGGGTACAGGATTTCTTTTTGGAGTAGAAAAAAGGTTTCAAACTTAGATTGGAAGATAATTGCATAAATCTATGATTGTACCAAAAACCACTGAATTATATACTTTAAGTTGGTGAATTAAAGAGTACGAAAATTAAATTTCAATGAAAATGTTAAAAAACAAATGGACTTAACATCTTTAAAATTAAAAAGGAAACAAAGCAATGGGTGTGGGATTAAACGAGCTGGGTTTCATCACCACCACCACCCCCAAACTAGCTGTGTGGTCTTGGGGAGGATTCAGCATCACTCTGGGCCTGCACAGATGGTAGCTTACTATCATGCAACAAAAGAGACAGTAAGAGAGGAGGGAATATGCAACCTCAGGAGTACAAGGAAGGCAGAATCGAGGTAACACTCTAGGGGGCAAGAAGCCCATCCCTGGCCATCAGCTAGACTCTGATTCTCAGCCCCTGCCTGCTTCCCAGAAGGCCTTTCTTCAGTATCCCACACACCATGTCCTGGAGCCACACCGTGCAGTAGGTATGGACTAAGAACAGGTTCAGCAACAGGAGCTCCATCACCACCTCCCATCAATGATTAGATCTGCCGCAAAACAGAAGCATTTATAACATTCACAGAACCAAAAGCACACGAGAAGGATGCTGACAATTAAACTCTAGGCTGTTTGTATCTTCTGCTGCTCATCAGGAGGGTCATTTCCTTCCTGTGCCCATGAGGCATTAGATGCTTTGAGCCTCACATTCTCAACTGTGTAATGAAAATAGATGTTGAACACTAAAACATAAACATATGTATCATTCATAATGCATTCAGATGGTTTTTAATTATTCATGGTTCCTGAAAGTTATTTGACCTATCATGCATATATATCCAAGCAATGTTTATATTAGAACCACAGCCCCAATGTACGTAGTTCCAGCTCCTTGGCATTCCCGTCTGCAGAATTAAAATTAAATGAGTCAGTGGTCAATAAAAGTTACATGTGATTTCCATAAAATTATCCATTGTACATTGCTAGGGGTGGAGAAAGAAGGCTGTGTGAAATTGCCAAAGCTGACAGAACTCAGAGTGCTTGCTCTCTGATGAGGGTGCCTACCGTAATTACTCTTTCCTAAGCAGGAATCCATTATTTCCCTAAATGATTGGTGGTCTTGGAGTTGCTCTTCATCTAAGAAAAAAATAACTCAGAGGGCCACCCTCTCTTCTGTTTCAGTCCTGTTTTCTTTAAAAAAAAAGGTAGTATTCTGGGCTCTAAAACACCACATTCTTATGTTTTGGTGTTTGCATAAATTTGCATGTTAACATGAATGGTTCCAGCTTAAAGAATGTGAAACAAAATGAAATTTGAATTCAAATCCAGGGTGGAGAAAAGACACATGCAGAAATAACAAGTCTTTAATCTTGCTGATTTTTTTTTTTTTTTCAGAAATGAGATTTAGGAAAGTCATTGACACACGCTCTTTTGATTCCAAAGAAGGATGACACTCACAGAACAGTACTATCAAAGAGGATCCTCCTCACACACTACATACACAAACTATGAGTATTACAGATCACATCAAAATCTGAAGCTCAGAAATATGACTCAGGCTAAGTTTACCACCACATTCCTACTTTTGGAGGCCCATCCAGAAAAACAAAATGTGAAGAACACTGTGTGAGTAGCTCAAGCAAATATAAGCATGGATTCACCTCTGCTGCTTCTAAAAACTATTTCTTGCTTCTTTATCATTTTATTTCTCCACTGCATTTGGGCAGCAGTATGGTTTGATGATTAGATGTCATTTTGAATCCCAGACCCACCACCACTTAGTGGCTGTGTGACCTCTGGAATATGATTTAATCTGCAGGCGTGACCTTTTTCATGATGTAATAATAGCACCAGCCTTAGATTTATTGTGAGAATCAAATGAGATGTTGTTGTGCACTTAAAATAGTGGCCAGCATAAAGCAAGCACTTAGTAAGGGTTAGCTCTCTTTTGGGCCAGGCTTCGTGATGCTACTATTTAATACTTAGAATGTGGTAGCCAGAGAAACCAGGTCTGAGGCTGTTTCCTTTTTCTCCAATCTGCTCTCTAGCTCTGTCCAGACAGCAGCACCCAGGAAAGAGGTGGCTCAAGTCATGGTGACAGCTCGTTGCCATGATCTCTGGCTCAGGACACAGGCAATACCACTCTCTCATTCCACCCTGTCCCACATCTGCCCTTCTCACAGCCCAGTCACCCTTCACTAAGGTGCCCCAATAACGCGACTACAGGACTTTAACGCAAAATGAGCAACAGGCATAGCATCTTACCTCATCATCATTTTCAGTTGCGTTTATTTCCAGTTTCTGGACCACTGACTTGTCGTTCTCCTTTAACATTTTCTCTCGAACTTTGGTTTCGTATTCAGGCCGGGAGTGCTCCTAAACCAAAGAGTCAGAGAGCAGTTAGTAAACAGGAAGAAGAGTGACCTGGACCTTTGGGTTATAATCAGACACCACAAGTACATTAAAGTTGGGGTTGGGACTGGAAGCTATCAGACATGAACTGTCACACCATACAAGATCACAAGTAGTCTAGACCAAGAAAACAATATAAAGGAGAGAGGAGAGACAAACAACGTGTGTTATCACATTGAAAGCCAAACCTGGGCACGTTCCTGAGGATGGCACCGGTGTTGAGAAAGGAGAGAGGAAATGTTAACTGGGTGGCTGATGCAAAGAGAAGCAATGTGCTCTGCAGAGCAGTTTGACAAAGGCAGAGGCATAGACCTAGTTGCCCCACCAGCTAGCCTTAGACCTCAGCTCACTTTCAAGGAGCCAAATCCCAACTGAAGAAAGGGATGTGCCCCACAGTGGGGAGTTAGGGCAATGGCAACGCTTCCTTGCCCCATTGTTCTGCAAGCTAAAATGGCAACCAATGAACATCAAAGTCAACAGTGGCCATGGGGAATCTTAAAACTCACTTGCCTGAACCTGCTTCCAGCAGAGCATAGGTGAGTAACTCACTGACAAACATGCCAATGCTCCGAACACATCACTGGGCCATTCTGCCACCCAAACCTGAACTGTGAGTTGCCAGGCTTGGAAAAGAGCACCTAACTTATCAAGCAGACCATGATCATCAAATCAATGCAGATCCCGGGGCAGGAAGATTCATGATTCACTTCAAAGGGAACTTAACAACACACCCCTGGACTCACTGGCAGGCCTTCCCTGCAGCTCCCAGCTCCAGTACAGATATCTACAGGTGTGAGGAAAGTGTGTTTCTGCATCATTTACTGACATCACCTAGGGACGGATTCAAGTGCTAGCTCTGCAGTTTAGAAAACACACATTTTTTGTCACTGCCACATATCAGAGATTCCACAGCAAGGCTCCTAACTCTGGCTTTCCTAAAATAAGTCATGATATTGGAGAGACCACAGAAGTGACTAATGCCTCTGTTTGGAACAAGCCAGCATTTTGGCACACAGATAGGAGTCAGAAGCCTAATACACAACAGCAGGTGACACCATTCTGGTGCTTATTAAGGTCTTCTATTGTCACTCAGTCTTGGTGGGCATGTCAGGCCCACCACTTCCAGGAGTCTTATCTATCAGTCAGTCATACTTACTAGATGGGCCTCCTCTCTGAATTACTAGAGCTTTCCTAGCTTATGCTCTTGATTATGTGGTTTTTTCTCCTAGCTGTTCTGCACAAGAGTCTTCTGCTCCTAACATAAGGATCAGCTCCCTGCTCGGCATTATTTTGTTTCTTGCTGTAACTGGCACCATGAAGAATACACAGAAGTCTTGAAATGCTGGTAAAGTTCACTCGATTTTGTCTCTCACCTTCATCCATCCTGCAACACAGCATTTCCTAAGGTGTGTGTGTTCCAAGGGAGTTTTATCTTAAAAATGATTCCAGGTTGCAAAAGACTAGAAAACACCACTCAGTACATCACCTTTCTGAGAGTCACAGCGAACATATTAAATGCTCTGGAAAGTACTACTATAAAGACACCTGTCTAATTTCCATAAGCTCCCCATTTCCCAAAGAACAGCTTTTGCCTATAGCAATTAACATTCTGCAGGAATACTCTGAAAAATGTGGTTTGAAGTTTTCCTCCATAGCCTCTGAAATTTGATTACACTTTTCCCCTTCATTGTTCCAATAGAAGATTTTAATGAAAAATGGCAGCTATGTCTTGTGGCATTATAATATGGGTTCCAAACCTCTTTGGGCCAGAGCACTTTCATACCTTGCAGAGGAACTGAGGAAGCCCCTCCTGCCTGGTAGGTTGTTTCTGACTGTCTCTGACATGCTATGACATCACACACTGGCGTTTCCTTGTATCCCCTTAGCTGGGGCTGTGGCCCTCCCTACCCCACACAGGACCTCAGTTCAAATGCCTCTGTTTGGAACAAGCCAGCATTTTGGCACACAGATAGGAGTCAGAAACTCAAAGAAGAACTAGGTTGCAGATCTGGTGAGGTTACAGAATCCCTCAAATGCTTGACAATGCAAGCTTGTTAATCCTAGGACTCTGGAAAGCTGGAACAGTAGGATTACAACTTTGAGTTCAAGCTAGCAATTGAAACTTAACCTGTTTCAATTAAAAAAACAAAACAAAACAAAACAGGACAAAGGAGCTCTAGGCCACTGCAGAATCTAGTCCCATGAGGGCTGCTCCGATACACACAACCCTAGGCACATAGATCTGATAGTCCCCAAACAGAGCCTCCCTGGTTGCGTGATCTGATTCCAAATATTTCTACCTGGAAGTGTCCTCAGGAGGGACTCAGGCAGCTGGGAACCAGCTGATCTCAAGAGGTCAAGCCAGAGATTCATCCAACAAATACCTTCAAAGAGGAGTTAGCAAGCACCTGCTATGCTCTGAGCTCTCTTCTAGGCACTGAGGATGTAGCACTGGCCCTACAGCATGCCCCTCCCCCACAGAAGAAGAGGAAGGCCGCAGGAAGTTAGCCACAACACACACGAGAAACCAGCACATGAGGAGAAAAGAGGAAACAAAGCAGACTGGGGAGTTAGGGGAGGCTGAAGCGAAGAGGATGACATTTCACTGACACCAAAAAGCCACCATAGGACAGCTACAGGGAGAATGCAGGGAAAGTATTCTGGGCAATTCGAACAGCCAGTGCAAAGCCTGGAATAAGTTTGAGACGGAAAGGAGGCCTGTGTGGCTGGAAGGCCTCAGCAAGGAGGATGATGAGAGGGTCAGGGTCAGGAAGGGGGACAGGGGCTTTTGTTTCGGTGCAAGGGGAAGCTGTTGAGGATACCTGAAGCTTGACGTGCTGTGTGAGCAGTAGGAGAGACACTGACAGGCAGCATACCCACATTCAGAGGTCCCGGGGACACCTGTGGCCTGCTGTGACAGATGCTAATTGGACAAGAGAGGCCCACTGCACTGCAGCCTACTTCAGAGCAAACAGCTCTCTAGGACTGGCTGGCCTCTCCACCACGGGGACACACAGGGTCCAAAGGGTGTCCCTTGCTGATGTCCACAGGGACGCTCATTGGCAGGGGCTCTACTAGCCCAGGGGGCTGGCTCTGGGGTTTAACTGCTCACTCCCTCCCTGAACACTTCTAGTTTTTTCTGTCACCATCCCCCATTTATAAAGCTGGATTTAAGCCACTCTTCTTGTTCCATTCCTGGAGGGCTACGTGTTGGGGACACGCCGTCTGGGACAGAGAGGGGGAATGGGCTTTGGTCTACGTGTGCAGTCACACCTCCTTCCTCCTAAGCAGCTCTTTCCTGGCAAAGACCTCTAGGAAGTGATGTCTTAAGGTTGCAGGCAGCTAGACTTGGGGGACCCTTGACACTGAAGAAGGTGCCTGGTTAAAACAGAAAAGGCTGCTAATTATGGCCTCCCAGGATACCTGCCTCCCCGTCCCAACACTCCACCCTCATACCCCTCATTTGAATGTAAGCTGAACCTTCTTCAACACACACTACAGTAATTCCTGTACACCCTAGGCCTCCTGTTCAAGTTCACATTCCTCAGCCAGCCTGCCCTCTGCACTTTCTGTGGCTACGGGGGACACACAAGGAGCAATTCGTGCCCACCCTGACCTTGTCATCAGACTAAACTTATTCCTCTGTCCCTATTGATTCTGCCTCTGTCTGCTGCAACCAACAGGACTTTCTGGACACCTGCTGTTTCTGATCACTCCCCGAGCTTCCCAGGTCTAGGTCTCCACTTGCCACTTCCTCCTTGTGGGTGCTGCTTCTGCCCCTGGCTGCTCACCTTTAAAACCCTGATTTTCTCAAAAGAAAGGACTTCCCACTCCCGACACTGGCCAGAAGGAATCTCTCTCACATCCACTCCATCAAGTCCAGGTATTTACAGACCAGACAGCATCCTGATGAATGTAAGCCTTTGGAGGTCAGAGGCTATGCCTGAGGAAGCTCAGTACTGCATATCAAAACCTGTTACATAGCAGGTGCTTAATGCGTTGCTCAAAACTGAACTGAATCTTAAAATGTGTTTGATATTCCAGTGCAAAATAGAAATGCATGACAGGAAAAGATGAGGCTGGGGACCTTTCCCCTTACCTGTGCTGGCCCTGGGCTGGGGGTGGGGGGCACCAACTGTGTGACAGAACCATCCAGCCCTGCAGGAACCTCACACAGAGATTCCATCAGGAGCACTTCCGTATTTCATGAGCAAACCCAGGCTTGGCCAGGCCCCTCGCAGCCTGCACACGAGTTCTTCAGTAGTGTACCTGCCAGGAATTTGCCACGGCTCATTGGGTTAGACAGAGAAATAGGAAATCTGACCATAGAAAGGAAAATGGGCTAGAATACCACTCCTGCCAGGGGCCTGTTACAGAGATGTCAAGGGCATCAAGTCACGACCAGCACTGCTCTCTGCGTGTGTTTATACTTCTCTCTAACAGAAAGGCTCACTGGCTTCCTCAGCGGTGCTGAGCAGATGCACTTAGCCTGGCTCTGGCCTCCACAGATTTAAATGTCAGAGTTTCTTTGCTTCTTTGGAGACATCCTAGCCTCTGGAGCAGGACATTAAGAGAGTAAGAACTGCTCCCACCTAACCACTGTAACCATGTTCATATTCATTCATCCATTCACTCATCCATTCATTTCATCTCTCTCTCCCACCCCCAGATAGACAGATACATAGGCAGACAGATGTAGATATGTGTATACATTTATATACTATATATAAATAAACACACACACACACACACACACATATATATACAATTGCCTTTATTATTCTCTCTTATTTATCTTCCTTACTAGTTTGTCTTCTATAAAGACAGAATCCACATATACCTTCTCTCACTTGCCACCAAAAATATGATGTGTCTCAGGGTCTATGCTTCACCTATAGGACTGCAGTACTCATAACTGGAGATGGAATGGGGTGGGATGGGGTGCAATCCACTGACAACCCACTGTCATGGGGAAAAGCCCTATTATTCCACCTCTCCTCCTAGAATAGAACTTCCCATCGACGGAACCTGACTGGTAGATTCTGTCCCATTCCATGCAGCTCCTGCCATTTCTCACCTCATCTGTTTGAAGACCCGCTGACATCAGAGCATTAACGAGAAGAAATGATAACATGCGAGATTTGGGGAAACACAGACTTGAAAATAAGACTAAAGTGAGGATTTCAAGTATTTGTCCACAAACCGTGAACAATTTACTCCAGTGTTCACATTTACTCTTCAGCTGTGGTGGATGTGCTATCAGCAGTTTCTGAAAGTTGTAACGGTCAACACAGAGCAGGGTGTGAGCTTGGAAGCAGAGGAAGTGGGGGTGCAGGGCTGACTGGGCTGCACTCTGGGGTGGGGAGATCACACTGACTAGATAACCATGAGCAACCCCAATGCCATGCATGGATAACTCACCAGAATCAAGATGAGGACTCAAGTTCTCAAAAGAGCTGTGAGCAACTCCTGACTTATTGACATACTTTACATATCGTCTTTCCAGAATACTAGATTCCAGGAGAATGTACCTTTCACCCTCAGCTCACCCTCCAGGTTCATATACAATGTACTGGACTGGACCATTGTGGCTTCGTGGTCTTTTTCCCTTCCCCAGGCACCAAAGTCATCCTGCATCTGTGACCCACTCCTCTGCCATGGCCCTCATAGGGTCAGAAGCGTTCTGCCATACCCTGCTGTGGCACACATGCTTCATGCTCTCCCAGAGCAGGGTACTGGGATGTCTGTCTACCCTTCAGCTCTGTGTCTTACAGCTCAAAGGAAGAGGGAGCATTTGAACTCTTGGCCTCAGTGCATATCAATCATGTCTTAGCCCACAAAGCCAAGTTGCGAAAGCAGCCACCATGCCACCCAGCCAGTGACTGAGTGATGAGCCAGCAAACATGAGAGCCTGTCTCTCTCTCGAGAGTCCATTTTCAGGGTCAAAGTAAAGCAAGGCCCTAGGGAAGTATCAAAGCAAACTCACTTCTTCCTCTTCTATACCGGTCAGGTCCCAGAAGTAGCCCAGTCGCATCTGTAGTCTTTTCCAGTTTTCCAGAAACATGGTGGCTGAAGGAGAAGGGAAGATTCATTTAGTTTTGAAGATTCCCAGTAGCATTTGGGCTCACCAGTGGGGGTGGGGGATATACTTCTGAGTTAAATTTTAGGAGCTCTCTCAAACCATTTAGCCTCTGCCTCCTACTTCTAGCTGGAGCTGCTTAACATATTCCCCATCCTTGGAAGCCAACAGATACACAGTTGTGTATCTCTTAACAGTGGGGCTATGTCCTGAGAAACGCACCACTGCATGGTCACAGGGTACCCTTACCCAAACTGAACCTGCCATGTCACTGAGTGCTGCAACTGTATGGGGCCACCACTGCATATGTGGCTCTTTGCTGACCAAAACATCATTATCCAGAGCGTGAATGAATTGCAGGGACATACGAACACACCTTAGCCTACTTCTAGGTTATGAGACAAAGGTGATCCCAAAAAACAAAGGACAGATGGATGAAGGGAAAAATTAGAAAGATCTGTAGGATCTGTAGTCTTTTTTGACAAGCCTTATCTTGCCTATGCACACATTCTTCCTCACTGCTCCTTGGTCAATGTGCTCAATTTTTCCCCCACCTGTTTCTTTCTGTCCTTAGCCCTGCTTCCTTTTCCTAGGCTTTGATCATCTCAGTCTGAGGTTGCACAACTGTCTCCTAACAGTTCCACCTAACTCCAGACTCCTAGCCTTCTAACCCATCTTGCACGCAGCTGGTAGAATGATCTCTGTAAATAGAGTTTATGCATCATTCTATTTGTTTAGAAAATGTTTGCAGGACATCTACCATGCCTGCATATCAGTCAGTCTGCTCCCCCACCCACCGCACCCCGCAGAACTTCCTCAAAAGGCCAATGCAACATGCTGTAGAAAAGACTTGACACCCACTGTGGCCAGGGTTTGTCACCCCAGAATGGAACACCTGCCCATGTCCTGCTGCTGGACCAATCAGAGTCCCTCTTTAGAAACCTGAACTGAGAGGCACAAAGAGAAGCAGCAAAGGCACCAAGCAGCACCTGAGAAAAGGAGGGAAGCCTGTGGTTTCCAATAGCTTCCTCAGCTCCAGCTCCCAGGAGGCCCAGCTATATTTTATCTCCTACATCCAAGAGCTTGCCTCTTGCTTTCTTACAATAAATCTCTTGCACTTTGAGTGAGCTGAGTGAATTTCTGATCCTACAAATTCTAACTCCAATAAGCCATCTGCAAGGCACTGTTCTAGACATTGTGAGGAGGATTAGATGAATCTGACATGGCTCTTGCTCTCAGATCGTCAGCAGTCTATAGGAAAGACTGTAGATAACTACAATACACAGTACGAAGTGATTGTAGCTGTAAGAACAACACAGACAACAAGCACCGTGCACACTGAAGAGAAACACCAGCTACCAGAAGAGGCATCTGAGTTGGGTTTCAACAAACAATGGGGTTCGGGCAGTGAAAAAGAGGTGGGTACAGGAACAGCGCTGACACTCCCCTGCCTAAGCTTTTGATGAATTCTTACGGTGTAAGTTCTATCTGAAGGCCAAGACCACGTATGCCTGACCTGGCCCCTCTGTCTGAGTCTCTCCCACCACTCATCCACACACCTCATAGCTGCACTGACCGCTGCTGAGCTCACCTCCTCGAGGTCCTTTCATCACCAAAGTACACATTCTCGCTCTCTCCTCTGCTACCCTCCAGTTTCCCCCCTCGTCTCCTCCTCACCCAGCCCAAGTCCCCTCTTCCTCTACGCTCCTACTGCCCTTGTGCTCACAGCACCCTGGAGAGGGAAGAGGTGTCCTTGAGGCTATTCCTCCAGCCATACCCCTGGTAAGGCTCTAGGGCCCCTCTGTGCATGCGCACTTGATGATTGCTTGCCTTTTCCAGTCTGTGCGTTATCAGGACTGCATCAGGACTCACAGCTGCCTGTGTGAAACTCAGGCACAGCACACAATTGAGCAGAGCCTCAGTCTCTTGGTTGAATGTGCAGTCATTAAGGTTGAGCCTGCTTTATGGGTGCACTGATGTGTATGGTGTTCCCCTCGGATTTAAAGGTTTTTCTTTGTGAGTGCATTCTCACCTGCTGACACCAACAGTGACCTGGGTGTCAGGCCATTGTCACAGTCCCTGAGAACAGTCCCTGAGAGTCCCTCCTTTATCTATTACTCCTCATGGTACCTGAATAGGCTGTGCTTACAGCAGGGCTCAGAGTCTGGCCAACCTGGGCCTCCTGGAAAGAAGGAAGCCACACTGTGACACAGACAAGAGAGCAAAGCAGTAATAGGAAGAAGAGTCAGAAGGCCAAGGAGGGCCATCATATAAGAACAGCTCACAGTTCCTGGGTGTGTACGCAATGGTAACTGCCCTGCACACATACTTGGTTCCCTTGTCCTGAAAGGACAACAGCATAGGCACTAGGTCACCCAGCTTGAAACTAAGGCCAAGGATGCTCAAAGATGAAGAGACATGGTAACATGGCCCATAGTTAAGAGTGCTGACATCAGCGACTAGTCCACATTTACTTGCTATGGGATCCACAGCTATCAAGGAGCAGCCCTGAGACACACATTGAACACAGTCTGACTCCAACTTGATGTCCCTCACCTCTAGTCAGAAGAGTTCAGAAAACCCATCTTTTTACTTCCCTTTTCAATAGAGTTTCACTCTCCCGGTGTCTTGGTGTTTAAAGCCAGAACTGCAACAAGGCTAGTCCTAAAGATTTCAGCTGACTCAGGTCCTGCTGCTGAGTACCCTCGTGGCCCCAGGTGTCCCTGAAAGACCCTTTCTCATTGCCACCCAGAGCCCAAGTCGATGCATGGAACCACTTCTTCACAGCCTCCTGGCAGGCCTGGGCCTTGGCCCAGACCCACCAAGCACAGCACCACTAATCATAATAATTATGGTAATGAGAGGCATTACTGTAATTTTTAATTGTAATTTGTAGGCAATCATGCCTAGGGCTCTTGGCTGCTGAAACCAAATACATGATCACATAAAACACAGCAAGGCTGTTAAAAAAAAAAAAGCCTACCCTACTCCAGTAAGCTCTGACACAATTCCACCCCTTTGTACTCCCCAGGGGTGGGGACAGTAAATTATTGAGGATCTCAGAGGGAGGAAGAATCTGCTCATCACAGCTATTGAGGAAAGACACGAGGCAGTTGTTGGGGCTTGAAACTGCAAGTCACAAGTGAAAGCACTTTTCTGTACAACAGCTATATGCCCTAGGAAAGTCTGTGAGGGATCACGGGCCCAGCGTCATTAAGGTTTAGCTACTCAATGGTGATAGTGTCTACAAGACAAGTTCACAGCAATAAAAGTCATAATATATCAAAAAACAAATGTGTACTAAAGGTTCCAAATCAGCTCAAGTGGATTTTGTGGTAATTATAAGATACCCTCCTTGATGAGGAGACACAGAGATGCCCATGACCTACCAAGCCATAAGCCCCACTTCAGTTTGTGGTCTTGACCCTTCCTGCCAACCATTCCAAACCACGTGGATCCAAGTTCCATTTCTTCCTATTTGCTCTCCCAGTTGAAATGGGCTGGGCTAGCCCCATGTACCCTGGGGAGTTGCTGTTTTCCCTGAGAACTATAGTGCCCCCTCCAGGTCTTCTTTGATGGCCTAGCAATACTGCAAGAATATTTCCAGTCTAGTTCTGCCTCCACCGGAGAGGAAGTCCCTACAGGAACTGGAGGAAGTTCGTGTTCCTGTTCTCCCAGACCTCTCCTTCTCAGCTCCTGCTCACACTCTCAGGGATATGTGACTCGGGACCCCACCCATCCTCCAGGCCCCACAGAGGCAGTGACAAATCAAGAAGCTTCTGCAGCAGAAACCTTGTGCTGCTGGCCTGAGATATGATGGGAATGATAACGGTGTGCACACCCAATGAAAAGGGAGGTGGCTGCTCAAATGGACTGAGACATGGTGACCTGATTTCTTTTTAAATACACATGGCTATGGTGCTTTAGAAATGTTAGCTACCATCGAATGGTTGTTCCAGGTTATTCCAGTTTTCTAGGAGCATGTGCATGCATGCAGGTGTGTGTACATGCTTGCCTCTGTGTGTGTGTGTGTGTGTGTGTGTGTGTGTGTGTGTGTGTGTGTATGTGTGTACGGTCTCATAATTGTGGCTCAGAGCAGTTTTGGTACCCCAGTACTCTGAAGGGGTCAGGGTAAAGAAAATAAAGAAACTATGTGTTCTTTCCTTCACAAATCCCTGTGGTGAGAATACTGAAACCATCTCTCTGGCATGACATCTCTACGGCAGCTGCCCACGGCCTTTTTAGCACTAAGGATGGCTTTTATGGAAAACACTTTTTCTGTGGACCAGGGGGCAGGAGTGGTGGACAGTTTCAGGATTAGAGTCTCACAGGGATTAGTAACTTAGATCCCTCTAATGCCACCACTGATCTGAGAGGAGGCAGAGCTGAGGCAATGCAAGCAAAGGGGAGGGGCTGCAAATACAGACTGAGCCTCACCCACTCACCTGCTGCTCATCTCCTGCTGTGCAAATAGGTTCCTCACAGGCCACTGACTGGGACAGGTCAGTGGCGCAGGCTTGGGGAACCGTGCTCCACCACCTACACCCACCATGTCCTGAAAACAGCACTGAGCCTAGAATCAGGAGGCCAGGTTTCAGCCCACGTTTACCACCAGCTCGCTCTCTCACCATGGTGGCCATGCCACCACTCCAGGGAGTAAGTACATGATATCCATGCTTTTACACAACTAAGGAAGTGTGAACAGGATGTCTTCTGAGTGTGCTACGGGTAGTGCAAACATGCACTGGTTCAAATTCTGAATAAATCATACATGATGTCAGTATGGGAGTACTATAGTACTGTATCTCAGAGACAGTAGAAAGGTCATGAAGAGAATTCCTATTTCTAGTCACACACATGAGTAAGAAGAGCAAGGTACTATCCTAAAAAATACTTCTTCGGAGACAAAAAAAATATTAAAGTGAGTCAAATGAAGGCTATGAGCTTTAGAGCTTGTCCCACACCCACTTCAATAGCCCTCAAATAATCAAGGCCCATGATGAACACTTACCCCAGAGAGCCATGAAGATGGAGAAGAAGACAGTGGCGGGGTTGTCAAACAGGTGGCTGGCCCGCGCGGTCCCACAGGCTGAGCTGAGATTCCAATAGTCACAGGATTTGTCACAAAGGGGACACATGGTGAAGGCATTCTGCTGGTCACACATCTCTTTGCTAAAGTACACAGAGGCAGCTAGGTTAGGGGGAGCTCAAGCAGGGCCCACTCGAGGAAAATCACCCCCAAACAGCTCCCATTTCCAATTATATGGTTGAGTTTATCAACTTCATAAATAAGAATGTCAGAGAGGTTCAGTTTGGATTTCACCTCAAGATTGTTAAAGACTATGGTCTGAGGTATGGTGCTCCCTATCACTAGGAGTGTCCCCAAAAGTCAGTGACCATCTGTCAGAGACAATATGCATAAAGGATATCCTTACAAAGTCCCTTCAAAGGGACTGGGGATTTAGCTCAGTGGCACAGCGCCTGCCTGGCAATCGTGACTTTGTGAGTTCGATTCCCAGTACCGGAAAACAAACAAGCAAAAAAAAACAAAGTCCCTTCAAAATGTTTCATCTGAGACTGGTGGGAAGCGTCAACACTTGTGAATAAATCCCCAGCCACAGGATTTTATCATCTATTCTTCAACCACAAGCTGTCTTCACACACCATACTTGCAGGTTGTCTCATAAATGTGTGACGCTAGTCACAAGCAGAAACAAACATGAGTGAATGGCTGGACTAGCGTACTAGCAGGAGAAGCCATGTGAGGAAGAATGCAGTAGAGCTGGATTGGTAGAGCTGGGTTGGAAGCCCTTTTCTAAGAACATGAGTTGCACAGCCATTTGTTGAATGGACGTTAATAATCTCAATCTAATAAGAATTACTATGGCCATGAGATTAGGAAGAGTGGAAGAATAGGGTAAGTTCTTCCAAGGTCCAGATTTTCTGATGTTTGGACAGAGAACACGAGCCAAACAATTCCAATTGTCTATGTTCTAAATATTCCATGTACATTTCCATTTAACTGACTCATGGGTATATTTGAAATTCCATTCATTAAATGATTTGCTGGATCCCATAAATTCCAGTTCCTACGACTAGAAGACTTGAAGGAATTATCAGCTCTGATTGGCTTCCCCAATTCTCCTCCACATCCCATACTACTGGTAGGAAACAATGAGTTCATTGTTCTGGTGTGCAACCTTTCCCCATGGAAGTAGGTAGATGGTTTGGAGAGGGAAAGGCGGAGAACTCAAGATTTCATGAAAATGAAACACTGTCAGCTCTCTCAGAGCAGCTGGAGCCTCCAGGTTGGAGAGGAAGGCAGGGGCTCCCATGCCCAGAACCACAGCTGTGTTTCTTGCAGGGCCAGGCAGCAGAGGGCGCTGTGGAGCCTGGCGACAAGAGGGAGGCCACAAGCGAGGCCCACCCTGAGCCTGGAGACCCGCAAAGCCCAGAGTGTCTGCGTCTATATCCCTTTCATTAAGGAGGTGAAGAGTGGGAGATTTACTGAGGGCTGTCACTTTCTGTCAAGTCCCAGCTTCTAGACTTCTGTTTTTAATGAGCTATTAAGTCCCTGGCAGCGAGAGGCCTTCTGTGTGAGAGAATAGAAACTCTAGCTCTTGCAAGATAGATCCTTAGTTCCTCCACTGACAGACTGCTGAGTTCTCCAGTGGCAAATGTCAATAAAAATGACGCATTCCCATCGCAATCAGTAAGCGGTGATATCGCAGATTTTGTGGTGATATCACAGTTTTACCTGGACACGATCCTGCTGCTAACCGGAGAGCAAGAGTTAGTTTCAATCTTCTGAGTTCGACAAGCGTCTACTCCGTGGGTGAGAGGACTTGCTGCACACAGAGCATCCTCCCAAAACACAGATTTCACAGAAGATTGTTCCTGTGAAACAATCCCACGAAACAGCCTTGCCTTTACACCATGTCTGAGAATAGATGGATTTCTCAGTGCAGCGCTTCAAGTAACCGTGTGAGGGACTTCAGCTGTCCAGAGTTTGCTTTGTGTTTTGCTTTGTGGTTTGGTTTTGTTTTGTTTTGTTTTGTTGTTTTGAAAAGCACAGACTGGGAGAAAGAGAGAATCCAATTCAACTTAGCGCTGATTAATAAGTTTAGTGCGTGCAAAAAAAGTCAGGCATGAAAAGAGTAATAGCAAACAACCCGGTACAAAGCACTTTAAGACATTCCTTCTGGGTAAATTATTGGCTTTTTATGTTAGAGCACTGGCATGTAGCAATCATTTCCACCAAACGGCAGTCATGAGCATAGAATCTCCTTGACTCTAATTAATTTAAAGTCAGATGCTTGCAGTGTATTTGGGGGTTCTGATGTAAGGAATTTTAACAGCATGCAGGAGAAATTCTTTCTCAGAATGAGATAAAATGATTTTTTGGTTCTAGGAGAGATCACCTCTGGGCAAGCTGAAAAACAGGGGAAGCTAACCTAGAACTGAAATCACATCTGAATTATTCACTGGCTGCGTTAAAATATCCAGAGTTCTAGTGAGAAATGACTGTGGCTATAAACAGAATGGTATATTTTTCTTCAATCATCCCCTCTAGAAAGCTTAAGAAGGTTGATCAATAGTTTAACAATCAGTTGAACCAGGTCCCCAAAGCAAGTGGAGTTTCTTTTATTGCAGTATAAGGATTGAACCCAGGGCCTTTGCACAGAGCTACATCCCTAATTCTTTTTTATGTCTTATTTTGAGACAAGGTTTCACTAAATCTCTAAATTTCCCAGGTTGGGCTCAAACTTGCGATCCTCCTGCCTCAGCCTCCCATAGTGCGGGAAATACAGGTATGTGCCACCATGTTCAGTAACAAGTAGGGTTGTGAAGGGTAAAACACAGCTCACAAGTTGGATGAGGCAAAGCTGGAGGTGGCACAAAGGGGGAAGACACAAAGAGGCAATTGTTCAGGAAATTCAGGCAAAACATCTGGTGTTAAGGTCTCAGGCCTACAATAACCAACTTTTTTCCCCAATATGGTTTAGATTAATCAGTGTTTTTAAAAAATGTCACAATGTTCCCTACCCATGAAACCAATTAACACATGAAACCAGTTCCTTGATAACTAAACTTCTACAGGTATGTCCTGCACACACAAAATTATTATGTACATGCTTATTTATATATCTCTTATAGCAAAGCTACTGGGGAAGAAACAGTATCATTTAACATTTGGCATAATCAATGTAATTTTTCTGGTTTTGAAACTGAACTATGGTTACGTAAGATATAAGCACTGGACGAGGGATATGTTTTTTATGTTAGAGTCCCTTTTTATGTTAGAGCCCCTCTGTACTTTGCAACTTCCTATGAATTTATCATTTTTTTTTAATCTAAAAGTTTTAAGCCAGCATGATGGTACACACCTCTAATCCCAGCACTCAGGAGGCTGAGGCAGGAAAATTGCTGTGAGTTCGCAGCCAGCATAGACTACAAAGCAAGTTCAAGCCCAGCCTGAACTGCACAGCAAAACTTTGTCTCAGAAAAACAGGGGAAAAAAGTTTTTAAAAATGACCCATATAAAAAAATTTTTTAAATTTTAAAAAAGTGATCCCTAGATAGTAAATTCCAGCTTAATAACAAAACTAGCAACCTCTAAAATAATCCCCAAAATAATGCAAGTTTTTAATCACACATAGGAGCAGATAGGCAGAGACCCTCACAGAGTATGAATCTCTTTAGATTCAATATTGGGATGTAAAGAATAGTCCTTTGCTGATAAGAAGTGATATTTTGTGTGTTTCTGTCAGGCCCATAAAACTTGCAATTTTGATAGATATATTAAAGAACAGTTCTTTGTTTTTTTTAAATTATCACATAAGATGTTTTATTTTTTCTATTATTTACTTCTTGATTTGCCAGACTACAATAAGACTATAATAACCAACAGCCAAAATTTCAAATTTATATCAATCAGTTTCAAGCTAGTTTTACTAAGATTTATAGTTCAAAATTTTTTATCAGAGCCTCTTTAATAGTGGTACTGGAAAAACTGGCTCTCCACATGCTGAAGACTAAAACTAGACTAATGTCTAGCATCATGCACTAAGCTAAAGTCAAAATGGGTCAAAGATCTAAATATTAAGCAGAAACAATAAATCTGCTGGAAGAGAAAGTAGGTAACAATATTGAAGACATAGGGGTAGGCAGAGTCCATGAACAAAAACTAAACTGCATGGGAACTACTTCAAAGAATCAACAACTGGGATCTCACCTTATTAAAAAGCTTTTGCACATCACAAGAAATCACCAACAGAGTGAAAAGAAAACCCACAGAGTGGGAAAAAATTTTAGCCAATCATACCTCAGATAAAGGGCTTATACCTAGAACGTATACAGAACTGAAAAAACTCAAGTTTTGGTAACTGGTTAGATGAGGAGAGTGGAAGAAAAAAAGGAATACAGAATGATTTCAGGTTTCTTGTAAATATGACAAGATGCAGGGTGGTGATGCTGTAGTATTTGCCCTTCCTTCCTTTCCGCTTTCCCCTCCTAGTTCCTTTTTCCTTTTAAACAATTACTTCCCATTTCACAAAATCTATTGCGCTTTCCAGACCTTATTTACTCTTTCAATTTGTCACACCAGGGAGGCAGTACAATGTTTACACATGTGAGTCTGATTTATTCCACTTATGCATAAGGTCCTGAGTTGCATCCATTTATCTACAAAAGTCTCAAGTTTACCCTTCTTTATGGATGAGCAGTAGCCCATTAAACATTTCTCCTTCCTCCTTCTCATGAATTCTGATGTTTTATTTCATCCTACCCTGTCATATTCCAGTTCATTAGAAATTTATTGAATTGATTCCCCAACCTACCAGTGAGTTTCTATCCATAGGTGGAGAACGTGGCCTTCTCTGACAATGTGACATGTCTGCAAGGACAACAGTTGCCTCTTCAGTCTGCGTATCGCCCATACATGTGAGTGTGCAGGAACGTGTGGGTGCGTGCCTCTGTGGAGACAGACAGCTGGGCAGCAGGTGCCAGCCCCGGCCATTCGCAGGCACAGCGGTTGCCGCCACATGTACTCCCACATGGTCGGCAGGGCCCGGTGCTCAATCCTGGCGTGAACTAGCACATGAACACCACCGTCTCAGGGGCTCTGGGAATGAGCCCAGAGCCTTCACCCTGAGCCTCATCCCCAGCCCCCCTTCTTTCTTTAATTTTGAGTCAGGATTTCCCTAAATTGCTCAAATTAGACTCAAACTTTTAATCCTCCTGCCTCAGCCTCCTAGGGTTCTGGAATGATGGTGTGCACCATTATGGTCAGCTGAGTTATCCTATTTTGATTAACCTGAGGTCCAGTTTCTAGGGATCACAACTAAGGAAGGAAAACACAGGAGCCATGTTTTGTGAGAATGTACCCAGGCAAGCCCAGGTCAAGCTACTGGACAGCCAGCGAGGATTTGTACATCTGAAGCCCTCCCTGCTATTTGCAAAAGGCAAAGGCTGCAGAGCACAGGCAGCACAGCTCACTTAACTCTCAGCGCTGATAAACGTAAGCTGTTGGACATGGGCATGAGTCTTCCATCTCTAAACGGAAATAATAACACTTATGCTATAGAGTTTACAGTGTTGATCTCTTGTAAGCTCAAAGAAATCAATACAGAAAAGCCAGATAACACCATACCTGGCACAAGACAGAGATTTGATAAGTATTATTTCTTCTCTCATGCTAGATAGCCTGGAAAGGGCAGAACTCTAATAACCACTCTCCTATGCTTGAGCTCGAGAATTTCCAATCCAGAACACATGATGGACAGTACTGAAGTAATGAGATACACCAAAATATCCAAGCTCTTCTCTCTTACAGCAAGGTACTACGCTTTATTCTACATACTAACAGTGGCATCTCCAGCTTATATGATTTGCAAGACTGTTTCTATGGAGTAAACTTGGAAAGAAGCTCCACCTGCCTCCTGCCCCCTGATGGACACATTTTCCTCAACCAGTACAGCTCTTGGCCTTTTCTTCAGGATGGCCATTGTATCACCACTACACTCCTCCACCCACAGTCCCACCACCCACAGTCTTTCCAATATCCTTATCCACCTGATCACTGAAGCATTATCATGCTGTGACAGACTGATTGTGTCCCTCTGCTATGGTCATTGGTCCAGGACATCCATCTATGTCAAACTGAGATTATGGGACATTTCTCCTCGAGACCAGTTGCTTTGAACACTCTAGGACATCACGTGTACAACCTATCAACTACAATGTTTACATCCAAATGGAGAAGATCTGAGACCAGAGACCAGAGGTAAAGAGAAGCCCCTGCTCCAGCATTCCTTAGGCCAACCACACGCCTGCACTGAGCGCCCTGGGAAACCCAACAAAGTATTCTTTGCTCCTTCTAGTTAAAGTTGCATTCCTATACCTTGCAACCAAAAGAGCATTAAAATACCCTAACCACTAACAATTAGAGAGGACAGTTCTGAAAATAACAAAAAGTTTCAATTCTAAATATTGGCTGAGCATCTTTTTGCCCTTTTCACTCTTTCCATATATTTTGATTCATGCAGCAATCATTTATTAATCCTCCGCTATGTGCCAGATGCTGCCTCCTTTAATCCCCAGAACTCCATGAGGTAGGCATTATTATTCCCACTTTGTAGCCAGGAAACTAAGACTCAGGGAGGGAACTGTCCGGTTGCACAGCTAACATGTAATGTCATCTGTACAAAAGGATGCTATTTTTAAGGGCTTGTTTTCCTTGAAGGCTCTCTCTCCCATATGGGCTGGCTTTTGTTCTGTCTCCTGGTTTGCCAAGAGCCCCACCATCGGGCCTACCACTTTCCACACTCCTGACTTCCCCAGCCACAGAGTGAGCCCTTCTTGGATTCAGAGCTACCTGCTCCTCACAGCATCTTACTGCAACAGTGTTTGACCACGCTGACATTTGATTTCTCCCCAAAGCCATTCTGTATACCCCAACTTGGTTTTCATTTTACAAAAGAAAACAAAAGTCACAAAGAAGAGAAAAAGTCATTTATTTGGCCTGGTTTTTTTTTTCTAACAGGTTTTATCAACTGCCCACATCAGACTCTGGCTCTGGAGAAAAGCCCAAAGAGGAAAGGAAGTGAGCCACACCGAGTACAGCTGTGAAGCCCTTCCTAGAATCTGTAGTTCCCAGATCTATCTCTGGAGGGAAGTCACGCGTTGTCCTTCAGCCCGTGAATGGATAATGAAAATGTGGTATTTATGCACAATAGAGCATTACTCTTCCATAAACAAAGATAAATTTGAGCCATTTGTAGGAAAATGGGTGCACCTTGACACCATAATATTAAGTGAAATAAATCACACATGAGCTTTAATATCACAAGGTTTTTCTTACACAAGAAACCCAAAGTATAAACAATTTTAAGAGCCAAATAATAGACAGATGATAGAAAACAAGGAGACAGAACTTTTGCAGATGAGAAGGAGACCAAGGGGTGGAGGGCAGTGCTGAAATGTATTGTGCACATGTGTCAATTCCCCAGGGTGAATGTAATCATTACGTACTGCGAACATGTACTAAAAAAAATTTTTTTTTAAAAAAGTAGGGTAAGGACTTTGAAAGGAGATGCATAAGATGGACATGTAACTAGGACAAAACTCCAAATATCAACACACAGGAACGTAGGCCTTTCCTTTAAAAGTGGCTTACCTGGGAATATCTTCTTCGATTGTTGCACATCCATACAGAAACACGATGACCCCAATCACAGAAGATGGGATGAGAAACGATGTATATAAGCCCAGCCAGGCAAAGTACAGTCCAATTTTTTCTCCAAAATACTTTCTGAAGAAAAATCAAACACATATTAAGAACATAATATCCTTTCCTTATTTTGGTTTGCCCCATGCCTAAAAAGGGGTAAAGATATTCATCCTTTCTTGTGGTTAATACAGAGGATGGAAGTTATGTGGGAGAGAGGGGCTCAGCACAAAGAACCAACAAATGGTGTTTTCCGAAGTGAAGTGCATTGCACTGGAAGCACATTCGCACACCTGTCTCATATTCGTGTGAAACAGGAACACAGCCCTCAGAGCAAACTAAAAATATAGCATAAGTGCTGGCATCTTTACCAAACATGAATAATGCATTACTATTTCACGGGTGCCATAGAACTCAACCTCCAGAAAAGCAATCTGAGTTACTGAGGTCAACTGATGTACAAAAAGCTGGACTTAGCTGCTAGCACTTGATGAGTTTGGAGAGAAGTATACACCCACAAGAACATCCCCCTAATCAGACCGTAAACATAACAAGCGCTTCCAAGTTTTCTTGTGCCCAGCTCCTTTTTTAGAATTTTATTTTTGTGTTTTCACATAAGATCTGCCCTGTTGGCGACTTTAACTATATAATACAGAATTGTTACCTACAGGGTCTATGTTATACAATAGAACTCCAGATCTTGTACATCTTGCATAACTAAAACTTTACATCATTGGACTGACAACTTCTCCTTTCTCCCTCCTCGAAACCCCTGCTGAGAAAGCCACCTTGTGAATGTCCCCTTATACAGAATTCATCAAGGAAATGTATACACACTTCAGGAAAAGAAAAACTTGCATAAATATTTTAACACTAAATTTTTTGAGATATTGTGAGATTAATACAAATTACCTTTGGCCTCTACAATTATAAGAGGTGCTCAAAGTGGTGGCCAGTAGGGTCTAGACATGTATGAGTATGAGGAACTGCTGCTTGGGTAACGTTGGTCATTCAGATTGCTGCACATGCATTTTCAATTTCTTCTCCAAGGGCTAGCAGTGTACTGGGTTTTCTGTGATATACAACATCCTCTAGGGTCCCCCATACAAACGCAAGACTAGCTATTGAAAAAAAACATACTATTTTTCTTTTCCTGAAGTGAGCACACATTTTCTTGGTGGACTCTGTATGTGACAGACAAGTCATGCTTTTCCTGCTACTCTTGAAATTCTTTCCTTGACTTTAGAAAATTTAATTGTAAGGTGGTATGGTGTTAACTTATTTTAGGTCAATTTATTTGAATCCCCTGGGGCTTAATGAATCAAGATGTACATTTCCCTCCTGTGATTTTGGTACTTTTCAGCCCTTAATTCTTTAAATAACCCTTTTATTCTGTCTCTTCCTTCTAAAATTCTCAGGAAGCATACATGGGTTCTCTTGGTGGTGTCCCATAAATCCCTTAGGCTCTCCCTACTCTGTTTTCTTCCTTCTGTCCTTCCTTTTTGCCTGTTTGCTTTTTTAGTTTTTATTTTGTTGTGTTTTATGTCTTGGTTTTTGTTCCTCTGACTGGACAATTTCAAATGACTTGTCTTAAATTCATTAATTCTTCTGCTTGTCAGATCAACTACTGGATCTCTCTATTGAATGTTTTTAGCTCTGTCATTATATTCCAAGATTTTAGCTTAGTTCTTCTTTAAGATTTCTATTTCTCCGTTGAATTTCTCACTTTATTTACACATTAGACTCCTGGTTTTGATTTTGGTTTCAAATTGTCCATCTGTGTTTCTTATTAAGATCATAGATATTCTTTAAGATTATTGTTTTTGGTTATTTGTCAAGCAGATTGTGGATCTCAATTTCTTTAGAGTCAGTGGTTCCTTTGGTGACATTATGTTTGGAGGTTCCTGGGAGCCTGGAGTTGGCATCCATGCATATAAGAAAATGTCACTTCTTCCACTTCTTACTGATTAGTTTCACCTGGTAAAGATCCCCACTAAGTAGGCTAGGAAGAGATTATGGTTGGGTTGGCTGCCTGAGTCTGTAGATGAGCCTAAGACAAGGACTGAAGATGGATCTACTGCCTTGGGCTGAGGGCAGGCTTAGTATGAGAGTTTATGGGCAGGTAGGCCTGCTGCCATGTTCCCGGAGTGGGTTGGGCTACTGCTCTACATATGACCAGGCCTGATGTTGAGATTCCAGTGCAGGTGGGACTGCTTATGGGTTCTACGGACAGACAGGATTGCTTACAGGTCTGTAGGCCAGTGGTTGGAATTTTCAGCAGACCCCCTAGTCTATGGCAGTGGGCATGCCACCAGAGACATAAGTGAGGAGGACTCCTATAGGGTAAGAATACACTCTTTATGAGTAGGGCTACTCTGGATCTGTGAGTGGAAAGAAAACTACATTCTGAATCTATAGGTGGATGAGGCTTCTTTAGGCCCGAGATTGGTAAGTCTTCTGCCAGGGACATAGGCCTTTGAGCTACTACTGAAGGACATAAGCCTGCCATTTTCAGGAACGTGTTCAGCCTTGGGTCTTCATCAAGTTGCTGCAACCCATTATCTGAACAAAGACACATTTTTGGTGGATGGTTATTAAATCAGTGTTTTATGAAAAGGTGAGAGCTGGGTACCTTTTATTCTGTCATCTTGTTGGGGTCATTTTGTTTATTTCTATTTACATCTTAAAATTCTCTACTTTGTTAATGAATTATTAGATAAAAGGATTTTTTAAAAAGAATATTTACCTATCTTCATCATTTTTATCCCTCGTTTGTAGTTAGAAAATTATTACACTAAATCCCTAAGAAGCAATTTCCCTTTAGATAATACTGATTATAGTTCTCTAATATATTTCATTTCTCAAAAGCCTATGACAAAAGTCAGGTGAAAAAGAGGATGGAAGAGTATAGGGTAAGAACAACAAAAAACAGGATTTATTAACCCACTCTCAAGGGTTGGCTTCCGCTTAAGACTTAGACAATTGCAAGAGAGTACAATTCTGCCACAAGAAAATCTAGATAATCTGAAGTTATTACTTCTCTTGAGCCCATTAGCTGGAGTTGAAAGCAACTCAGTGAAAATGAATTTTTTTAAATGACAACCTGTCCAAGAAAATATGAGACATGTAAAGAGTTTTACATCTGACAGAGCTTGGGAAAACACAACAATCAGCAAAGCAGTTAAAAAAAATGGCCATTTAAAAAAATTGTGAAAGATGGAGCACGAATTGGCATAACCAAAGCAGTTTGCACCCACGCACAAGACTTCTCCCTGGTGCTCATGAGGACGATAATAGGAGAACAGGGAGGAGACCAAAGAGAATGTTCCCTTAGCTGCACACAGCTTGTAGGCTCATCCCCTTCCCAAGCAAGGCCATCTCTCCTTCAAATTAGAAGTTTTCAACAACTAAGGAAAGGGACTTGACCTTAGGATCTAGGCAAAAATTCATTGCTCTGGGGGCATTGTGGGGGGGTTGCATTTAAAGCCAGTTGTCCTTATGGAAGGCAAGATTCTAAATTAATTATCTTGCACACTGGATCCTGCACAATTACAAATTACAAGTCATTTACCGCTGAAGAGGGGCAGGAAACTCTTCCACCAAGAATCTTCACAAATAAAAGACAGAGTTCACTATGAGGATTAGGAGAAGGACAGAAACACTGTTGGTACACGGTCTGCTGAGGACTGCAGGCAGGCCAGCTAGCTAGGCCTCCACGACCTCACCAGTGCAGCCCTGTGCAGAAGTCAGCCCTGAGTAACAAGAGCCAGCAGGGTCTGCCACTGGGGGAGGGTGAGCACCTCAAGAGAGAGCTCTCTGTGGCACGGGCTTTCTGAAAGAACTGCTGAAAGTGAGTGTGTAATGGGAGCACTGAAACCAAGTTGTCAGAACACCAGAGCCTGGGCAAAGAGTGAGGTAGTAGTAGCCTCACGGAAGGAGTTAGAAGTCATGGTGTACGGAAGGTGACTCTGGCAGTGACAGAATTCAAACCCAGCCACCCTCTGCTAGATTGACTCAGCTCTGCTTGCTAATGGCCTGCTGGGAGAAACATGGCTATTCCTGGTGTAAATGCTGTTTAGGTCAGTTTCCACTGACCCTTCATGCACGCCTGGTATCCAGTAGAAACACTAAAAGATACATTTTTTAAAAATCCCATTTTAAAAGATATCAATAAAATTAAAATTCATTTGCACGTTAAAATGACCAGAGAAGGAATTTAAAACAATGATAATTAATATGTTAAGGAAAAAATGTATTTCTTTTTTCCCTTTCTTCTTTTTCCCTTCCCCTATCACAGTTTGTCTTTTCTTTTGAACAGTTTCTTCCCAATTTACAATATCTATTGTACATTTTGAATCTTATTTTCTCATTCAGTTTCTTACACTAGTGAGACAATATGATGTTATGATAGTTACACAGCTAGTTTCTCTCAGTTCAGTGAAAAGAAAGGTTTGTGCTAATATCGTTTGGACAAAATATCATGCCTCTATCTTGTACTCTGAATAACTACCACAAAAACAAAAATAAATAATGTCTTCATTATTGTAACTCTCCTACTAACCTATTTTGAAACTCTATTTCATTGTTTTTATTTTTTCTCTTTAAAGTAAAAAAGAATGTACTACAAAAGATTGAATCCACTACAAAAGAGAAAAGAATGAAGAATTAAAATAATCTAGCAATAGAAAGCTGTTGCAAAGGTCTGCCATACATGTAATTTTCCCCAGAAAGAAAAGTGAGAGAGGAAGGCAGCAATATTTGAATATATTGTGGCTAAGAATTTTCTAAAAGTAATGAAGCATAGTAGCAGTCATCACTGAAGAAGTGCACAAACTAAAGAGGTTCAGGGAATCCCAAGTATAATAAGTACAGAAACACATTTCCCTATGCACATTATAGTCAAGTTTATGAGAACCAGAGATACAAAAAGAAAAAGCTGAGTAAGGGGTTTATTAGATACAGAGAAACAAAGATTTGTTTTTTAGCCAATTCCTTGGCAGAAACTATATAAGCTAAAAGCTAACAGAGCTACAACTTTAAAGCATGAAAAGAAGACAAAACTGTTCATCTAGAATGCTATACAT